CCCTCCCCCCCCCCCCCCCCCCACAAGCCTATTTTATGCATAACCCCCATTTTATGGTGCTAGGGGTAGAACTCACAGTTTTGTACATGGCACCTGAGCCACCCTAAACAAGGCCATGTTATGAAGTACAGACTGACCTCTAATTCAAAACAGTGCTGCTTGAACCTCTCAAATGCTAAGACTACAGCTGCCCCGCCCAGCCCCCCCTCCAGACTTTTTTTTTTACCTTGTTTACTTGTTCATTTTCTTGTGTGCCTTTCATGTGTTTATTTTGGTGCTGGTATTGAGTCAGAGGCTTTGTTTGCTAACATATACTCTATTGCTGAGCTATACCTCAGTCAGTAGTTCCATTAGGGTTCACTCTTATGTCCCCTGTTAAGCTCATACTGTGTAAACTACACACTGTTCTTCGCTTATTTACCTATTAGATTTTGGGTATGAATTTGCTTAGAATAACATTAAAAATAACTACACTGGTTTCCCCTGTATGTATGAATATATGTAATCATGCCTCTCAATGGAAACTGGAATTGTCTCCATTCTTTTTTCTTTTTTTCTTTTTTCTTTTCTTTTCTTTCTTTTTTTTTTTTTTTCAGACAGGGTTTCACTATAGCTTTGGAGCCTGTCCTGGCACTTGCTCTGTAGACTAGGCTGAACTCATAAAGATCTGCCTGCCTCTGCCTCCCAAGTGCTGGGATTAAAGTGCGATACCACTGTGCAGCTTTTCTTTCTTTCTTTCTTTCTTTGTTTTTTTTTTGGGGGGGGGGCAGGGCAAGGCAGGGTTTCTCTGTGTCTGTAGTATTGGATGACCTAGAACTATCTCTGTAGACCAGTCTGACTGTGACCTCACAGAGATCCGCCTGCCTCTGCCTTCTCAGTTCTGGGATTAAAGGTGTGAGCCACCACCATCCAGCAAGTTGTCCCCACTTTCTTGCTATCACAGTGCTACAACACATAACCGAGGAGAGACATACCTCTATATAAGACATTTATTTGTAGGATAAATTCTGAGGATTGTTAGGCATGGTCTGTACGTTGAAAGGTTGAAAATGATTTTATTACAGTTTATATCTCTGTTGTGTGTGTATGTGTATGCCTGTGTGCACAAGTCTTGGAGTGTTTTGAGGTCACAGGGTAGCATATTAGAATTCTCTTCTTCCACCATGTGGGTCTTGTGAACTGAACTCAGACCCTTAGGTTTGGTGGCAGGTACCTTTACCCACAAAGCCATCTTGCTGGGCCCTGTACATTTAAATTTTTGATCATTTCAAGTTGCCTTCCTTAGACATTTAGAAGTTCATAGGATATAAGGTTACCTAGGCTTTTAATACACTTCCAGTGAGGGTGGGAGAAATGGCTCAGTGGTTACGAATGCTTGATGCTCTTCCAGCAGGGTGGAGGTGAGTTTCCAGCACCTCTAGTCAGGTAACTCAGAGCCTTTTCTAACTACAGCTTCAGGGGATCTTACATCCTCTTCTGGCCTCCATGGGTATCTGCACATGTGCACATTCCCACACAGAGATACACATATACATAATTTAAAAATAAAATAAATCGTCTGGGCGTTGGTGGCGCATGCCTTTAATCCCAGCACTCGGGAGGCAGAGGCGGATCTCTGTGAGTTTGAGGCCAGCCTGGTCTCCAGAGCGAGTGCCAGGATAGGCTCCAAAGCTACACAGAGAAACCCTGTCTCGAAAAACAAACAAACAAAAAACAAAACAAAACAAAAAAAAAAGTGTGATACTTCATGCTTGTAATCCTAGCTTTTGGAGATGGAGGCAGGAGGATTAGGAGATAAGGCTGAGCCCCTTTCTCTAAAAAAGGAAAGCAAAGAGCTTCCTGTAGTTTCTACTTATAGTATAAAATCAAGTATTAATTGAGGGTGGATAAGAATTAATGTTAGTGGACTGGAGTCTTTTACTACTGAAGGTCCTATGAGGAGAAATATTCAGTGTACTAAAATGATTAAATATGGCTCTCAGAAGGTTAGCAAGTGAAGATGGCTTGTGTACCCGCTGCTGTCAGGCAGCCTCTGATGACGGCTGTACCATACTCATTTCTTTTCTTTCTTTTCTTTTCTTTTCTTTTTTTTTTTTCTAGGACCTTAGCATCCTGAGCCATTTTGGATTCATAGCCCTCAAGGCTAAGCTGGTCAGAATTCATCATGTCCAAGTTAAAAAGCTCGGAGTCAGTCCGGGTAGTGGTTCGCTGTCGGCCCATGAATGGCAAAGAAAAGGCCGCATCGTATGACAAGGTGGTGGATGTGGATGTGAAGCTGGGGCAGGTGTCTGTGAAGAACCCCAGAGGCTCATCCCATGAGATGCCCAAGACCTTCACCTTTGATGCCGTCTACGACTGGAATGCCAAGCAGTTTGAACTCTATGATGAGACGTTCCGACCACTCGTGGACTCTGTCCTACAGGGATTCAATGGCACAATTTTTGCCTATGGACAAACGGGAACTGGGAAAACCTATACCATGGAGGGAGTCCGTGGTGACCCTGAGAAAAGAGGGGTGATCCCCAACTCATTTGATCACATCTTCACCCATATCTCTCGATCACAGAATCAGCAGTACCTGGTCAGGGCTTCTTACTTAGAGATCTATCAGGAAGAGATCCGAGACTTGCTCTCAAAGGATCAGACCAAACGGCTGGAGCTCAAAGAGAGGCCTGATACAGGCGTGTACGTGAAGGATTTGTCTTCCTTTGTCACCAAGAGTGTGAAGGAGATAGAGCACGTGATGAATGTGGGAAACCAAAACCGGTCTGTCGGTGCTACCAACATGAACGAGCACAGCTCACGGTCACATGCAATCTTTGTCATTACAATCGAATGCAGCGAGGTGGGCCTAGATGGTGAGAACCACATCCGGGTAGGAAAACTGAACCTTGTAGATCTTGCTGGCAGTGAGCGGCAAGCCAAGACTGGCGCTCAAGGAGAAAGACTGAAGGAAGCAACCAAGATCAACCTGTCCCTTTCAGCCTTGGGTAATGTTATCTCTGCCCTGGTAGATGGCAAAAGCACCCATATTCCATATAGAGACTCAAAGCTGACTAGGCTTCTCCAAGATTCCCTTGGTGGCAATGCCAAAACTGTTATGGTAGCCAATGTGGGGCCTGCATCTTATAATATAGAAGAGACCCTGACCACTCTGAGATATGCCAATCGTGCCAAAAACATTAAGAACAAGCCAAGGGTCAATGAGGACCCAAAGGACGCTCTGCTTCGAGAATTCCAGGAAGAAATTGCTCGGCTCAAGGCCCAGCTGGAAAAACGTTCCATTGGCAGGAGGAAGAGGCGAGAGAAGCGGAGGGAAGGTGGTGGCAGTGGTGGGGGTGGGGAAGAGGAGGAGGAGGAGGGAGAAGAGGGTGAGGAGGAAGGGGATGATAAGGATGATTACTGGCGGGAACAGCAAGAAAAACTGGAGATTGAGAAGCGGGCCATTGTAGAGGACCACAGCTTGGTTGCAGAGGAGAAGATGAGGCTGCTGAAGGAGAAGGAGAAAAAGATGGAGGACCTGCGGCGGGAGAAGGATGCTGCTGAGATGCTGGGTGCTAAAATCAAGGTACCGTGCCCTTCCTTAGGTCTCTTTCCCTTTCAGTGCCATTTCTTTGATCAAAAGAATTATATAGTGGGGGCTTGGCATGGTGACAAACACTGTTAATCCCAGCACCCAGGAGGCACAGGCAGGTGGATCCTTTGTAAGGCCTATATACAGTAAGTTCTAGGACAGCCAGAGCTACAGAGTGAGACTTCATCCTTCAATCTCCCAAAATAAAAGTCAAAAACAAATTCCATTCATGATAGTTCTTTTTCTTTCTTTTCTTTCTTCCTTCCTTCCTTCCTTTCCTTCTTTCCTTCCTTCCTTCCTTTTTATAATTTTTTATTTTTTTGTTTTTTGAGACAGAGTTTCTCTGTATAACAGTCTAGCTGTCCTGGAATTCACTCTGTAGACCAGGTTGGCCTGGAACTCACAGAGATCCACCTCCCTCTGCCTCCCAAGTGCTGGGAGTGCACCACCACTGCCCGGCCTCTCTTTTTTTCTTTAAGAAAGTAGGTATCATTTTAATTATTTGATGTTTTTGTTTGTTTGTATTTTTGAATCAGGGTCTTGCTATCTAGACCACTCTGACCCTGACTCATTAGCAATCCTCCTGCCTCAGCCTACCAAGTATGCACCACTGTGCCCAGCATTTTTTTTTTTTTTTCAAAGCAGGTTCTCATGTAGCCCAGGCTGACCTTGAACTTGATAGTAGCCAAGAATGAGCACAGGCATATGCCATCATGCCCATTTTATGTGGTGCTGGGGCTCAGAGCCCTGTCTTGGTGCATGTGGGCAAACACTACCAATGCAGCTATAGCCTCAGCGTCTTTCCTTAGGTGCTCCTGTGTTCACTCCTCCAAGGGTAGTCATCTGGAATCCAGTGTTTGTTGTTGCCTTGCTCTTTTTTTTTTTTTTTTTTTTTGGTTTTTTTGTTTTGTTTTGTTTTAGCTCATCTGTCTGGTTTCACTGGGCTTTTACTTAAGGTGCTACCACAGTTTGTGGTACAGGCATCAGTAGAGAACCTGTACTGATGCTTGTAGTTGTATCCATCACTATTACTGCTCTGAATATTCTGGGATGTTCCAGTCTCCTCTTATGGGCTGTTTGTTTCCATGTTCTGCTATGACTGATATTGTACCTGGCTCCAGGAGACTTGCTGACACCCTTAGATTCTAGAGTGAATCTTTTTTCTTTTCTTTCTTTCTTTCTTTCTTTCTTCTTTTTTTTTTTTTTCATTTTCTTGAGACAGGATTTCTCTGTGTAGCCCTGGCTGTCCTGGAACTTGCTCTGTAGACCAGGGAGGTGGAGAACTCAGAGCTCTGCCTGCCTCTGCCTCCTGAGTGCTGGGATTAAAGACTTTCGTCGCCACTGCCCTGCTCTAGAGAGAATCTTGTGAAGCACCCACTTTACTGCTCATCCCACCAGCAATGGTGATTATCTGACTAACTTCTGTATATAGTGAGGTTAGCTCTACCCCCCATCCCATCCCCACCCCCGCTGACAGTTTCCCTGTGCTGTTCTCTTAGGAGGGTCTCTGAACCCTGTTGCTGGTGCGCTTCCTGACATCTGCTTTGCTTTTCCTCAGATGCTGGACAGTATCCCAGAGTATGACATCTCAGTTTTGTGGCTTCTATCTAGTGCAGCGTGCTGTTCCTTGGCTGCCTAGACCAGGGCTGTCAGTGTGTTCTTTCTAACTGAATTTATTTTATTATTATTTTTTTTTTTTTCAAGACAGGGTTTCCCTGTGGCTTTGGAGGCTGTCCTGGAACTAGCTCTTGTAGACCAGGCTGGTCTCGAACTCACAGAGATCCGCCTGCCTCTGCCTCCCAAGTGCTGGGATTAAAGGCGTGTGCCACCACTGCCCGGCTCTAACTGAATTTATATACATTTTAATTTCTTCTCTAAAATATATCCATGTTCTCTTCCTCTATCTACCCTCCTCCCTTTCTGCAATGTGACCTCACTCTGTAGCCCTGGCTGGGCTAGAGTTCGATATTTAGAATATGCTGGCCTCAAACTCACAGAAATATGTCTATTTCTGCCCCAATGAGTGCTGAGATTAAAGGTGTATTACCACACACCTGGCCCCAGCTAAAGTTTCTTTTCTTTCTTTTTTTTTCCGGGGGGGGGGCATTTTTTTGAGACACGGTTTCTCTGCGTAACAGTTCTGACTAGCCTGAAACTTTTTTTGTAGATCAGGCTGGCCTCAAACTCACAGAGATCCCCCTGCCTCTGCTTCCCAAGTCCTAGGATTAAATAGGATTAAAGGAGTGTGCCACCATGACCTGACTAGCTAAAGTTTCTTAAGAGCAAGGCCGAGAAGGTTTCGTTGGTTCCCCTGGCCTTAGCTCCATGTCCCTGCTGAGTCTTTCAGTCTGTTATCGCCTGTCCATAGCTGTCTTCTAGCACTTGGGCCCCACAGCCTTCTGCTGACGTCAGCCATCAGAACAGCCTTCTACTTCCTTACATCAGTGAAGCTAGACTCCTAAGAGTTGTCCTTGCTTGCTCTTTGTCCTCTCTTTTTATGGTCTCCTCAGTCCCAGGGCTTCTTGCTCTTACCTCATCAGCGAGCGCCTTTGCAACCCAGATACCACCACCACCACCACCACCACCACCACCACCACACACACACACACACACACACACACACTGCTCAGTAGCCCTCCTGCCTGCACTCCAGCAGCATGCCCTCTTCTAGGAATTCCCCTGTTTTAAGAGTTCCATCTTAAAACACAGTTTGACTACATGCACTCGTGCTCCCTAAGGCTCTCAAGATCAAGCCTGTTTTTTTTTTTTACTTTATTTTTTAAAGATTTATTTATTTATTATGTGTACAGTGTTCTGTCTGCATGTTGCCTGCAGGCCAGAGGAGGGCACCTGATGTCATTACAGATGGTTGTGAGCCACCATGTGGTTGCCGGGAACCGAACTCAGGACCTTTGGAAGAACAAGCAGTCAAGCCTGGTTTTTTAACAGGGCTCTGAGACTTTTGCATCAGCCTCTACTGGTTTTGTCAACTTCCTTATTCTACCATCTCACTAACAAAAGTCTTTTTTTTTTTATGTTAGAAAATTCTTATTCTTTACTTCAGCTTTTTGTGTAGATGTCCCTTCAGACAGGAAGCTGTCCCTAACTTCCTCCAAAAGCCTGGCTCCTCTCATTTTGTCCCTCCCATTAGTTACTCAAACTTACCTTACAATAGCATCTCATACCATCTGGCTAAAGGCTCCTTACTTGTCTGTGTCCCTCAGTGGGCTGTGAACCTCACAGTCCTCCCTGGCAGATCTCCAGTCTATAGCAGCCAGTCAGGTTTAGTATATCTAGAGTGGAATTAGTGCTCTGGATAAACGACCCAATAAAGGACTTGGTTAAAAAACAAACGGGCTGGAGAGATGGCTCAGAGGTTAAGAGCACCAGCTGCTCTTCCAGAGGTCCTGAGTTCAATTCCCAGCAACCACATGGTGGCTCACAACCATCTGTTATGAGATCTGGTGCCCTCTTCTGGTGTGCAGATATGCATGGAAGCAGAATGTTGTATACATAATAAATAAATAAAATCTTTAAAAAAAAAAAAAACAATCAGGGAGCTGGAGAGAGGACCCGGGTTCAATTCCCAGCACCCTAATGCCAGTTTACAACTATCTGTAATTCAAGTTCCAGTAGATATGACAACTTCATACAGATAAAGATGCAGGCAAAACACCAATGCAGGGGCTCGAGAGATGGCTTGGAGGTTAGGAGCACTGACTGCTCTTCCAGAGTTCCTGAGTTCAATTCCCAGCCACCCACCACATGGTGGCTCACAACCATCTATAATGAGATCTGGTGCCCTCTTCCGGCCTGCAGGCATACATGCAGGCTGAACATTGTATCCACCAATGCAAATAAATGAAAAATAAAACAAACAAACCCTGAAAGCCACAGATGTCTCAAACAGCCAGACCTTCAGTGTCAGCAGTGTGAAGACCCATCCCATTATGGACAGGGGACATTTGTTTTTCCCTAGAGTAATTTTTTGCTTGCTTGTTTTGGGGTTAGTGGTTTTTTGTTTGTTTTTTTAGAACAGGTTCTTAATATGTAGCCCAGGCTGGCCTATAACTTGTAATCCTCCAGCCTCAGCCTCTTGAATGTTGGGACCACAGGCATGCAACATCATGCTTTGCCAGTCGTGAGAGTGTCCTTCAGGTCTTCCTGTGAGGGGTTATGTTCTGGCAGAGACCACAGAATGGGTTTTACTTTGTTTCTCACTCAGGCCATGGAGAGTAAGCTGCTTGTTGGAGGAAAAAATATAGTAGATCATACGAATGAACAGCAGAAGATCTTGGAGCAGAAACGCCAGGAGATCGCAGAGCAGGTAACTTTGCGTTCTTGTGTGGGGAGGAAGGCATGGACTGACATGATTGAGGCCACAGAGCTGACACCTGTGGTATGAGAGCAGCTCCAGAGGGAATGGAGAGGAGCTGTCAGCCCCATGCTAGCCGGAGACCGACTGCGAGCATCCAGACCCATACTGTGTAGACATGGTCGCTAGGGCAAGCTGATGAATTTTGTGGTATCGCTCAGAAACGTCGAGAAAGAGAAATCCAGCAGCAAATGGAAAGTCGAGATGAGGAGACATTGGAACTCAAAGAGACTTACACCTCGTTGCAGCAGGAGGTAGACATCAAGACCAAAAAGCTCAAAAAGGTAAGAGGCGGAGGTGCTGGGAGCCCTGGAGGAGGGGTGCGCCCTCTTTGGACTGCCTGTACTCATCTCTGTCTCCCCTGGCTTCAGCTCTTTTCCAAGCTCCAGGCTGTGAAGGCTGAGATCCACGACCTGCAAGAAGAACACATCAAGGAGCGCCAGGAGCTGGAGCAGACGCAGAATGAGCTCACCAGGGAGCTAAAACTCAAGTGAGTACTTGGTTGGCAGGATCCTGCCATCCACTAGGTCCTGGAAGACCTGTCCAAGGATAGCCCACCTGCTTCTTGCCACTCTTTGCCACCCCACTGTCTGCTGCTGTTCCTGACAAAGTCACTTTTCATTTCAGTCTGTTTCTGTGAGGTTACCACACCATCTCCCCATTCCCTAACCCTCACCCTTCTTGCCCCTTTGAGATGCTCTGGCCTCGCCTGTCATTCAAGAGAGAATCTTTTATTACTTTTCATGAACTTCTTTCTGATTGATTAAATGAACACCTTCGTACTCATCAACCAACCAGATTAGTATAAGAACCATTGTTCTTATGAAGTTTGGGCATCTTTCTTTTTGGGACAGGGTCTCATGTAGCTCAGTCTGGCCTCAGATTTGTTGTGTAGCCAAGGATGCCCTTGAACTCCTGGTGGTATGTGCCATCATGCCTAGTTTATGTGGTGCTGGATATCAAACCCCAGGCCTTGTGCAAACACTCTACCAACTGCACTGCATCCCCAAGCCCCTGAGCAATGTGATGTTAGTGTTTCAACCAACCAACAAGCCAACAAGAAGGATCTCTGGATCTTTTTCTTTATTTGTTTTCTGAGACAGGGTCTCATGTTGTAGTCCTGGTTGGCCTGGAACTCATTAGGTAGATTAGGCTGGCATCCAACTCTTAGAGATCTTCTTGCCTGTGCCTTTGCCCCTGCCTCCTGAGCACTGGGATTAAAGGGATTTTCTTTTATCTTTTTTTGGTTTGGCATTTATTTATTTAGTTTACATATCTACCTTGTTTTCCCCTTCTTCCTCTCCTCCCAGTTCCTCCCCCTCATCTCCTTTGCTCTACCTCAGCCCATCCACTCCTCCTCCTTTTCTCTTCAGAAAAGGGCAGGCTTCCCATGGATATCAACCAGCCATGGTATATCAAGTTGCAGTGAGACTAGGCACCTCCTCTCCTAGGACAAGGCTGGACAAGGCAACCAGTAGGAGGAAAGGGTCCCAAAAGCAGGCAACAGAGTTAGAGACAGCCCCTGTTCCTACTGTTAGGAGTCTCACAAGAAGACTAACTCACACAACTGTAACATATATGCAGAGTGCCAAGGTCAGTCCCATGCAGGCTCCCTGGTTGTTGATTCAATATCTGAGTCCCTACGAGCCGTGCTTAGTTGATTCTGTGGGTTTTCTTGTGGTGTCCTTGGCCCCTCTGCCTCCTACAATCCTTCCTCCCCCTCTTCCTCGGCATTTCCTGAGCTCTGTCTAATGCTTGGCTGTGGGTCTCTGCATCTGTTTCCATCAGTTGCTGGGTGAAGCCTCTCTGATGACCACTGGGCTAGGCGCCAATCTGTGAGTGTAGCAGAATATCATTAGGAGTCATTTCATTGACCCCCCCCCCAGTCATGTTTGGTTCTATCCTTGTCTCTGGGCAGTCTCCCCTCTTGGTCCTGTCCCTCCAGCTAGTGTCAGGAGTGAGCTCTCTCTCATGGTATGTGTCTCAAGCTGGACCAGTCATTGGTGGCCACTCCTACAATTTCTGTAACGCCTTTACCACAGCACATCTTGTAAGCAGGACATACTGTAGGTCGAAGGTTTTGTGGCTGGGTTGGGGTCCCAATTCCTCCACTGGAAGTGTTGCCTGGTTCCAGGAGATGGCTAATTCAGGCTCCATATCCTCCATTTCTCGGAGTCTTAGCAAGGTCACCCCCATATATTCCTGAGGGTTTCTAGTGCCCCTCATTCCAGTTGTCTCTCCCTGTACTCTCTCCCTCCATTCTCCCCTGACCCCCCCCATTCCTATCCACACCGCCCCCAACCAGACCCCTCCCCTAAAGGGATTTTCAAACAGGTTCTTTTCCTGATCAAGTTTTAAATTTGGAAAGAAGCCCTTAAAATTCAATGTGTGTAAGGGGATTGAAGAGATGGCTCAGTGGTTAAGAGCTCTTGCTGCTCCTCCAGAAAACCTTGGTTCAGTTCCCAGCACCCACATGGTGATTTATAACCATCTGTAACTCCAGTTCCAGGAAATGCAACACCCTCTTCTGGCTTCTGTAGGCACCACAGTGGTGCCCAGACATAGATTCAGGCAAAATATTCAGATGCATAAGGTAATCTAAAAAAATTCTCTGAGCGCTGGTGATTCACACCTTTCATCTCAGCCCTCAGGAAGTAGAGACAAGCGGATCTCTGTGAGTTCAAAACCAGCCTGGTCTGCAAAGTGAGTTCCAGGACACGCAAAGCTGTTAAACAGAGAAACCCTGTCTTGAAAAAAAAAAAAAAAAATTCGGTGTATGGGGTCTGCTGAGATGAATCACTGGTAAAGGTCCTTTGCTCTGCAACTCTGGTGACTGGAGTTTGATCCTTAGAGGCACATAAAGGTAGAAGGGGAAAATTTATTCCACAGAGTTGTTCTCTGACTTCCACACATGCACTGTCGCAATGTTATACACACAAATTTACAATTTCATGGTGTTGCAGTTCTCTTTGTAGGCATGTACTTCTAGACTAGACAAAAGATCAGAACAAGAACTGTCAAAATAATAATAATAGCCATCCATGGATACTGGTATTATGAATAATTATATTTTCTAATACATAAATAGAACCTTTGCAATCAGAAAATCATGTTGTGAAAAATAATTCTTGAAATATCAAACAAAAAAGAGAGAGAGAGAGAGAGAGAGAGAGAGAGAGAGAGAGAGAGAGAGAGAATGCCACATCCTCAAACTGTTTGGGGAAGCCATTTTTTTCTTAGTACCCTATACTTCTGAGGCATTTATCCCATGTCCATCCCATAGTAACACCCCTTTAGCATTGTTTGTTCTAAGGTTTTGGAATAACGGAGGTAAATATGGGCCAGTCACAACCATAGTGATAACCTAGTGAGGTCTCGTTTCCTGTTTAATTTATTCCTTTTGCTTGGTAGCCCTGGTCTGCCTGTAACTCACTGTGTAGCTCACACTGATCTTGAATTCATGGTCCTCTTCCTTTAACCTTCAAGTAGTGGGACTGCAGTGTGTCAGCTGCCAGGTTGTCTGATGCTCTTTTCAGCCACTGGTCAGGCAGAGGCTCTCTGGTCAGGAATCATCTTTATTTTGGAGTTGGAAGGAGTTCCATTCATTCCTTCTTACTAACCTGGGTGATTAGAATGGACAGTGTTCCAGCTTGGGCAGCAAGTCACAGGACTGGCTCTCTCTCTCTCTCTCTCTCTCTCTCTCTCTCTCTCTCTCTCTCACACACACACACACACACACACACACACACACACACACACACACGCCCCCCCCACGCCCACACATCCCCCCCCACACACACACTATCCACTCACTGCCTGGGTAGGAGTGACCTTTCCATATTTCTGGGACAACCCACTCTTAGCACCTGTCCGTGCTGTACTGCTTTCTCTTTGTATCAGGTAAGGACCAGGTGTCTTCCATGTTTGTATCTCAGCTCTGTGTATAGTATTAGCTTATAGTACTTGCTCAATAAATGTTTGCTGAGTGACTGGACTCTTACCCTTATTTTGTTGTTGTTTTTGGAGAAAGGATCTCACTCTAGCCTAGGATGGTATCATAGATTCAGGGGGACCTCCTGCCTCAGCTTCCCAGGTAGCTGCTATAGGTGTGTGCCACCGCGTGGTTCTGTGTGCCTTCTTCATTTGTATTTATCTATGTGTATTCTTATAGGCATCTTATTATAGAAAATTTTATCCCCTTGGAAGAGAAGAATAAAATTATGAATAGATCCTTTTTTGATGAAGAAGAAGACCATTGGAAATTACATCCTATAACTAGACTGGAGTAAGTCACTGCTGACCTGAAGTAGACTTGCTGGTGGGAAAACAGAAGGCTGCATGATTGGACTGGGCCACTGGGATATGGGGAGAATGCATTGAAACTTGGAGCCTGCCTGCCTGATTTTGGGGCAGCCACAGGCCCAGGAAGTATAAGCTGGGTCCCAACTATGATATGAGAAACTGGGAAGCTTCATCACTTATGAACTAGTTTTAGCCTTTCCCATGACCTCAAATTTTCCTTTTCCCTATCAAGGGAGGTGTGCTAGGGAATAGGACAGAGTACTTTGTGTGTCAGTCGACACCTAGGCCATGCTGGGGATTTGGAGCTGTCTGTCAAGGATGCAGGGACCGTAGTGTTGGTAAATATGCGTGTCTGCTGTCTGAGAACAAGACAGTGACTGGGGTCCCTTCCAGATTAAAAGAAGCTTGATGCCCACATCTGGATTACATGGCTCCTCAAGCAGAAAAGCTAAGCAGTTAGCACCTGGCTTCATTAGCCTTAGTCCCGGGAGTTACTGCTTTCAGTTCTCTCTGGCTTGGAGAACTTCTCTGAGTGCTTATCCTATTGGCCTGGTCCTGGCCTTCGGGGCATATTCCAGCAAGGCCTTAACCACTGTCATCTGTCTTCAGGAACCAGCAGATGATGAAGCGGCCAGTCTCTGCCGTGGGATACAAGAGGCCCCTGAGCCAGCACGCACGGATGTCTATGATGATTCGACCAGAGCCCCGCTACAGGGTGAGAAGACTGTATTTCATTTTTTCACCCTTTGCTCTTTGACTCTTTGTTCTTTGCTCCTTTGGGGGCCCGACACCCAGCTCCCAAATAAATTACACAGAGTCTTATTCTTTCTTATGAATGCCCAGCCTTAGTTTGGCTCGTTCTAGCCAGCTTTTCTTTTTTTATTTTTGTTTTGTTTTTTGTTTTTCTAGACAGGGTTTCTCTGTGTAGTTTTGGAGCCTATCCTGGCACTTGCTCTGGAGACCAGGCTGGCCTCGAACTCTCAGAGATCCACCTGCCTCTGCCTCCCGAGTGCTGGTATTAAAGGCATGTGCCACCAATGCCGGGCCGCTAGCAAGCTTTTCTATATATATATTATTTATTTATTCATTTATTATACAACATTCTGCTTCCATGCATATCTGCACACTAGAAGAGGGTACCAGATCTCATAACAGATGGTTGTGAGCCATCATGTGGTTGCTGGGAACCGAACTCAGGACCTCTGGAAGAACAGTCAGTGCTCTTAACCTCTGAGCCATCTCTCCAGCTCCCCAAGCTTTTCTTAATTTAAGTTATGACGTCCACCTTTTGCCTCTGGGCTTTTAATCTTTATCCTACATACCTTTCTTTACTTCTTACTCTGTGGCTTGCTGTGTAGCTGGATGACTGGCCCCTCCTTCTCTCGCTCCCTGATCTTCTCTTCCCGGATTTCTCCTCCTATGTATTCTCTCTTCCTGCCAGCCTCACTTATCCTTTCTCCTGCCTTGCTATTGGCCACTTGTCTCTCTCTTTTTTTTTTTTAGACCAATCAGGTGTTTTAGACAGGCAGAGTAACAGAGCTTCACAGAGTTAAACAAATGCAACATAAAAGAATGCAACACATCTTTGCATCATTAAGCAAATGTTCCACAGCATAAACAAATGTAACACATCTTAAATAAATATTGCACAACAGAAGACTGTGGATTTTTAAAAATTGTTTAAATGGCATTCATTTTTTAAATGTGTGCACATGTGTGTTTGTGGGGACAGGGAAGCATATATGCACATGCTACAACAAGAATCAGAAGACAGCTTGTGGAAGCTGGTTCTCTTCCTCTACCATGTGGATCCCAGGGATCAAACTCAGGTTGTCAGGCTTTGCAGAAAACATTTTAACCCACTGAGCCACATCACTAGACTCAGAGTGTGTGTGTGTGTGTGTGTGTGTGTGTGTGTGTGTGTGTGTGTGTGTTTTCTTTCAGAGGAGTTTAGATTTGAGAAGTCCTCAGACACCATTATGCTAAGTCATGGGTGTTTATCTGAGGGCATGTACAATACTTTTAACAAATAATACATGAAATTGCAAGTGGATGATGAATACTAAATGGAAAGGCAGGGATTGGGGATGACTTACTCAGTAAAGTGCTTGTGTTTTGAGCAGGAGGACCTGGGTTCAAGCCCGGAAACACACTCAAGCACACCATAAACAGCATGTGGCGGTCAGAGGACCACTTGCAGTTGTCTACCCTGTGAACCTGGGCATTACACTTATGTCAACAGGCTCGACGGCATGCGCCTTTTCTCACAAACCGCCTTGCCAGCTCTGGTGGTGTGCCCTGGTCAACAGTACTGTCTCTTACAGGGAGATTCCTGGGTCTTGCTGGCCAGCCATGTTAGCCTAATTTGTGAGCTCTAGGCCATTCCTGAGGATGATGCCTGAGGACACTGTCTGGCTGCCACAGGCATGTACATACACGTGCACCTGCAGTCACACACAGAGATTGAAAACAAGAAGGGTAGAGTGAGATTTAGAACCCCAGGACAAGGAAGGGGTAGGGAATAAGCTCCCTGTCCACAGAGGCCAGTAGATATTACCAGTTAAGGAAAGACTGACGGTTCTGTGAAACCTTTAGAAAGGTACAGATATTTAGTGGTGGGACATGGGCCTGTCCTAGGGAACTGCTACTTCATTTAACATATTTGTCAGTTGCATAGTCACGTGAAATGACATAATTGAGCACTGCTTAATGACCCCCAAATACCTTGCAATAAAACACTTCCTGTCTGCTGTGCCTATTCCTGGTATCTGACTGTCCTCCCTAGCTGAACTCCCCCATCTTTCCTGTGCAGTCAGTCCTGTTGTTCAGAGCACAGGTATAGCAAGTGATGGACAGGGAGACAATGATGCATTACTAAGTTGTAAAGCAGTGTGTACTATTCCAGATAGCATACATCTGCAATCCAGTATGCAGGAAGTAACTAAAGCCAGCCTCATCTATATAACATGTTCCAGATCAGCCAAGGTTATATATAAAGACCTTATCTCAACAAACAAAACAGAACTTTAAAAAGTTTGTGCTAGAAATGCATATATGAATTAAAAATGTGTTGTGTGAAATACATGAAAATGTGAACTGCTTACCCCTGATTGGTAATGAGTACTCAATTTAAAGTTTTCTCATTTTACTTAATTGTATTTTTGCAACTGTCTATGGGCAACCTGTGTTATTTTTGTAATGAAAGATATTCACAGGATCATATTCTGTAGCTCAACCTGGCTTCGAACCATTATGTAGCCCATAATAGCTTCAAACTCATGGCAATCCTTCTGCTTCAGTCTCCTAAGCATTTGCAATTATAGGTGTGAATCATCCTAAGTGGCTTTGGTTAATATTTTATTTATTTATTTATTTTGGTTTTGTGAGACAGGGTTTCTTTCTCTGTGTAGCTTTGGAGGCTGTCCTGGCACTCGCTCTGTAGACCAGGCTGGTCTCAAACTCACAAAGATCCACCTGCCCTGCCTCCCAAGTGCTGGGATTAAAGGCGTGAGCCACCAACACCGGCTTTCAGTTAAAAATTTAAAAACATTTTTTCATCTCCCTTTAAGCCAGAGCCAGATGAACTGGGTGCCATTTGTCCTGCTGCTTAGTCATTTAAAATTGAGAAAGAAAAGCAAAAACTGCCTATTACGTGGGGTTTTACATAGAGGAGGAAGGGCAGCGGTAGGCAGAAGCCTCAGAAGCATTTTTCTGTCAGTTTCAGATGGTGCATAACTTGCTAGGGTTTTGTAATTTAGAAAAAAAAGAAGTCTTTAAAGTGCACAAATAAAATACATGACTTTTCAGCAGACAGACATGACCAAAAGTGGAATTGAAAGCAGTAACTCTCGTTGTTTGGTAATCAGTCTGCTCCACTGGGGAAATTCTGTGCAATCTGGATATTTAAAACTGATGAATGGCCCTCTCTGGAGCCCTAAGGCTAGACTTCCTGGGGGCAGTGGCAGCAGCTGTGGGTGGTGTGTGCTGCTCTCTCTCTGGACACTTGTCTTTGGAGCTAGGAAGGGCTCATTCGCCACGTGATGTTCTGTGATGGAGGCAGGTCACAAAGCAATCATGAAGCAGGGCCAAAAACTGCTTCTTCAAGTGGAGCTCAAGCATACACCTTGCCCCGCACCTGCTCCCCGGGAACACACAGATGCTGCTGCCTCCAAAGCAGCTGGAACATCTGTGTCAACTATTAGTGATTTTTGTCCTTGTACCTTTTCATATCTTATTTGAGACATGTTTAGTGCAAACAAACAAACAAACAAACAGAAAAGCAAGGTAGAAAATTAAAAATCACCTGTCTAGAGTATGATGGGCCACACCTGGGAGGATGAGGTAGGAGGATTGCCGTGAATTTCAGGCCCCTTATGTACATAGGATAATTAGGATAGGAGAAAACCACAGGCAGGGGAAGGGAGAGAGTAAATTCAGAAGATAGCTAGAAAAATCTATAAATATCTTAGAAAATAAGACAAAATTGTTAAGTGATTAAAAAAAATTATATAATCATAAACATTCCAAGAAGATGCTAACACTTACTTACAATCATGTATACTGGAAAGCCCAGATACATGAAGCCAGACTGAACTGAAGGGAGAAACAGACAGGTCAAATATAATAGTTGGCGGCTTCACTGATTTTCACTAATGGATAGAACATCTCAACCGTAATTAACAAGGAAATGGTAGTCTAAACAACGTTATAGACAAATTAAACCTAACACATCTGGGAAATACTTAACTCTCTCTCCCATCCCCCCCCCAAATAATTCAAAACATGCATCATTTTTAAGTATACATTGGATATTGTGTTTATCCCAAAGAATTGAAAACACATGTCCTAGTTAGGTTTAATTGTCATCTTGACACAGTCTAGAGTGGTCTGAGAGGAGAAGAATTATGTAGATCAGATTGACCTGTGGGCATGTCTGTGGGGAGTTACCTTACTATTAATTAATGCAGGAGGGCTCAGCCCACTGTAGTTGGCATTATTACTAGGTAGGTATCCCTGGGCTGTATAAAAAAAGCTAGCTAGCCAAGTATGAGGTGAGTGAGCTAGCTGGCCAGCAACATTTCTCCATGGTTCCCACTCTACTCCCTCACTGTTAATGTGTTCCCTGGTCAGAGTTAATGCTGCATTTAATAGCAAACAGGCCTGCTTTCAGGTTCCTGCCTCAGCCTTCTGCCCTAACTTCCCTCAATGATGGACTATGGTCTTGAAATGTAATATGAAGTTCTTTCCTCCCCAGGTTGTTTTTGGTCATGGCATTTATCACAACAACAGAAAAGAAACTAGGACACATGTTCACACAAAACCTGTATATGATGAATTGTCATTGCATCCTTGTTCAATAACTCAAAAGCCAGAACGAATCAAATGTCCATCGCCTGATGAATGTACATGAATTGGGATAATTATACAGTAACTTTTATTGGCCATAAAAAAGAGAATGAAGCATTGGTCTGGAGTGCAATACAGATGACTCATAAACATTATTAATTGACATCTCTGATTTTGAGGCTAGTCTGGTCTACAGAGCAAGTTTCAGGACATCCAGGGCTACACAGAGAAACCCCGTCTTGAAAAAAACAAAACAAAAAGACAAAAAACATGAAACAAAACAAAAGCAAAAAGAAAATTAAATGAAAACAGCAGACATCAAAGGCCATATGTGAAGCATCTTGAATTGACCAATCCATAGAAAGCACGCTTGTGTTTGCCATGGCCTGTGGGAAGGAGGAAGTAGGGTAAATATGTCATACATAAAGGATTTCTTTAGAGGGATAAAAATATTCTGAAAATACCTTGTGATAATTGTACTAAATACTACTGAATTTTACATTGCAAGATGGATAATTGTGAATAGTATGTTATATAGATTTTATTTTAATTAAAATTATAACCTGGTGTTGGTTGCCCAGGCCCCAGGCTTTTAATCTCAGCATTCGGGAGGCAGAGGCAGGTGGATCTCTTGAGTTTGAGGCAGCCTGGTCTATGGAATGAGTTCCAGTACAGCCAGGGCTACACAGAGAAACCCTGAAAAATAAAAGTAAAACAAAACCAAAAAACCACTTTCAGTCCTACCAGGAACAAAATTCCATAAAACATAATTTCTGGGGCTGTGGAGGTGACTAGGTTTTTGGTTTTGGTTTTGGTTTTGGTTTTTCGAGGCAGGGTTTCTCTGTGGCTTTGGAGGCTGTCCTGGAACTAGGGCTGGAGAGATGGCTCAGCCGTTAAAGGCTAGGCTCACAACCAAAAATATAGGCAGGCTCTTTTTAAACATTTTTTTTCTATTACATTTATTTGTGTGTTTGGATGCACATGTGTCATGACGTGTGTGTAGATCAGAGGACAGCTTGTGGGAGTCCATTCCTTGGACTTTGTGGGCTTTAAGGACTGAACTCAGGTCATCAGGCTTGATAGCAAGTACCTTTAGTTGCTGGGCCATCTCGCCAGCCATCCTGGGAGGAGGCTGTTCATGACAAGTAGCTTGCAGTTCCATTCTCAGCTGTTTGTTGTCTGGCTTCCTTGTGCTTGCTGATGGCTGCTGTGCTTGTGCAGGCGGAGAACATCATGCTCTTGGAGTTGGATATGCCCAGCCGGACAACCAGAGATTATGAGGGCCCAGCCATTTCCCCCAAGGTCCAGGCTGCACTAGATGCAGCTCTGCAGGATGAAGATGAGATTCAGGTGGATGCATCATCCTTTGAAAGCACTGCAAACAGAAAACCCAAGGCCAGGTGAGTGGCTTGTGGTGACTTGTGTCTGAAAGTACTAGTGAATACTTTAATCCCAGCACTCAGGAGGCCCTGAGTCCCAGCCCGGGTTTTTTTGGCCTGCACTTGCTGAGCATCCAGGTCCTTCCTTTCAGGTTTCACACCTCTCCTGGATGGTGTGTTAGCCAGGCCCAAATGGTCATGCTCATCTAGTCTAGTGGGTTTATAGTTCAAAGAATCCTGGTTTTCAGCCCTTTGAGGAAAGGCCACCTTCATATGTGCATGCTGCTTGGTAATGTCCACTTGTTTGACTTTTACAGGCCTAAGAGTGGCAGGAAATCAGGATCCTCCTCATCCTCCTCAGGAAACCCTGCATCTCAGTTTTACCCACAATCTCGGGGGCTGGTTCCCAAGTAACCCAGCACCCCCTCCCAAGGTGGGAACAGCATTGTCTTCTGAGAGAAGATCGAGCACAGAACTGCAGAGATGACTTGAGCCTAAACAGAACCGTTCGTTCCCTTGAGGAGAAGAGATTGCCTCTTTGCAGATTAACCACCTCAGTCTGCCTGAACATGCTGGTCCTGACTTGGCACTCAGCTCCTCTGGGAAGTGTCCTTGAATTAGCATCTCAGAAATGCATGGGTAAGGTAAAGTGCAAAGTCCAAGTGGACAGCAAGAAAATGACCACAACCTTGCTTTCCTTCTTCCTCCCCCCCCTCCAGCCTCTTCCTCACACCAGGTTCCCTTTTGTTAAACAATATGACTGTTGAGGCCTCCTTAGGACCTTATGTGTGGAGGCTTGGAGTAAAATGACAGTGGAGCTGGGAAGTAAAAGCCCTAGAACTCGAATAGGTGCCTGCTTTTGTCAGGTGAAATGAGAGATCTCACTTGGAACCAAGTCCCAGGATGGCACCACCAGTGATCCAGCTTCCAGGCCCCTCAGTAGGAGTAGATCTGCCTGTGGAATCTGTTGAATGGGGCAGAGGCTTCCAGTTCCTGCTCCAGAAGTACATGGTGTTGGGAGCAATAGAAAAGACATTCCCTTTGCCTCCTGGGAGAGTTTGGGGAAATAACTTTTTTAAAACCTCAAAACCATGACTTTCCTGTTAAAGACCTAAGTCTATAAACCAGTGCCATGTCCATCTACCATGTCACTTTACTCTTCATTTGTCACCGTCTTCCCCCAAATGCATACACTCTTGAGTGGACTCATGCAGACCCACCTTAGAGTGTGGCTACAGAGTGTGCTTAGAGGTGGGCCTCTGTATGGGAGAAGGGAGGCTGGCTCTGCCTTCTCTGGTGGCACTAGAGTTGGGGCAAGGCCTCAGGAAGGGACACTTTGGAATTCCCCAGTTGGGTCCATACTATCATGGGGGCAGAAGAATGACTAGGTGATGCAGAGCTGGAGGCAGGGGACTCACAGCAGGGGGAAGGGAAGACAGAGATGGAAGCAAAGGAACCCTGTCTGCCTGGAGCAGAAAACCCCCTGACTCTCAGAAGTGCACCTCCCCTAGGTGCTGGCAAGAAGAGGCTCTGAGGAGAGTTCACACTTCCCGTTTACATAGACAAGTTTAGTTTCTAAGTTTTAGTTCTTCATATTATGGCCCCTCAAGCTTTGTTTTATGTTGGTCATTAGGTGACAGTTACTCATTTTCCCCAGGTGAAATGCATGAGTGTGTGGGGCTTTGTGTGTCTGTGTTCTGTGTGTGTCTGTAAGAGAGAGTGAAACCTTGCCCAGTTTTAGAAATACTCCAACATGCAGTCTTTGCCCCTGTCTGTGGTAAAGGCCCAGTGAATGGCTAATCTAGTCTAGAAGCATGCCCCCATGCGTGTGTGAGTCCGGGATCCAAGCCTGAGGGGCAATCTTAAGTCCTCAAGTCTGCCTGCCACACTGGTGCACCTTGCTGGCATGGTGCCTCAGGAAGATGGTAGGTAACTCAGGTGGGCCTTGAGATGTATTTTTAACTCAGTCTCCAGGTACATTTCTGGATCAGAACCCATGGGATGGAGGAGGTACCAAGTGTAATGTCTTGACATTCTGCAGAATGGAGATCCATTTATCCCCATGTTAGTGAGCATTCTTTCTGAGCCCAGGGCCCTATTCAGCAGTTCCTAGGGTATAATGGAACCTGTCCTTACCTTTTCTTGGGCGCAAACCCTGCTTCTTCCTTATGTACTAAGAATTTGCCTGTTTGAACAGGAACCAAATGATGAGATGTGTGGTCTAAGATGGCTGTCTGCTGGTGACACTGTCTCTCTTACCACATTTCCTCACAGCCAGTATGCATTCTGTAGGCTGAAAACATTCATGTAGTGAAGCGAAGGATCACAAACTTCAAATAATACCATACCTTAAAACCGGTGTCTTGAAGTGGCTAATGTGATGGATGGGCTGCTGGTGGCGGTTTAAGTGATACACAGAACTTTTCCCGCAAACAAAAGAAGAACGCCACTGACAGTCATGATTATTAAAGCGAGCCTGTCCTCAGCTGTGTTCCCGCAGTGGTCTGTGGAAACCAAGTAGAAGGGCCACACATGTGGCCATGATGCTGTCTCTTCCGAGGCAGCCTCTGGTGCTTCTCTTCTCAACATGGATCCGATACTGAAAAGAGCAGATGCTAAAATATCTTGCTGCCCCCAGAATGTTGCTGCTTTGAGCTCTGAATGGAGCCAGGAGTAGAGGACAGATCAAGCTCACTGAGGGACCAAAGCTTTATGTTGGTAGTTATCTAGAATGTTCTGGGATGCTGGAAGGCCCTCATGCCTGCAGCAGCTGTTGTAGTCTAGGAGCAAGTCTTTAAAAGGATCTTAGAAGAGCATCTGGCAGGTGTTTGAGGCTGCGCATACAATCCTCATCAGACTCTCTTTTCGTCTCATCAATAGAATGTATCTGGCTTCAAATCACACAATTCCCAGACCCCTAGATTCAGAATCAGAGGCCACAGATCATAGGCATGAAGCACTTTCTTAAGACTGACCTGTGTTGAATTGCTCCTGTCGGATGCCTGCATGCTGCTTGAATTGCTCCACCTACACCTCCATGACCAAGGGTGCCAGAGTGTGGCACAGCTCAGGCGTGGGCCACTGTCTGCCCTTCCTGACTCTTCCTAAGCCCTCCCTTGCTGAATGTAGACTCTGCCAAGTTTCTGAGAAGCGTCGATTCCCTGCTAACATAGGCTATCAGTTCTGCCTCCCTTTCGCCTCTCAAGTTTGAGGAGTACTCTGTGAACACCTTGGACCATTCAGACACCATCCATGGATGAAATGGGCTACTCATGTACTCTGAAATCCATTAATGCAGAACGCTCAGAGGGAACTAGGTAAGGTCAGCGTGCCCTGCAGTTACCAAGTGAGTCTTGGTCTGGTACTTTCCGATTCTGGCACCTCCCTCTCTGCCCCATCTTCCTGAATGAAATGCTCCTGAGGTTATTTATGAAAGGAATGATATAGGCAGGCAGGAAAGGGGGGGGGGCTTGATGGCTCTTTGGAGTTAATAATGACCCTGACCTTCTCTTCGGCTGTCTTTAGACAAAGAATATGTCAATACTTGGGACTCTTAGTTTTACAATTGATATTTATTTGTATTATCTCTTTGTTTAGCGATGTAAAAGTGATTCTAAACTAAGATGTGTAATAAAAATCAATCAGATTTATTGTATCTACAACAAGTTGTCCTTGTAAGTGATTAGTGCCTTTTAAAGAGATTTGCTGTAGCTGGATATGCTGTGATTTTCTTTCAGTGTTTAAGCTGTTACAGTTAGAGGAGAATAGCGTTGAGTTGTAATACTGACATTCAAAAAATGCAGCTAGGAAAGTGACAGAATGAGGACAGGGCTGGGGGTGTGGCTTAGTGGTCGAACTCTTGCCTAACTTGTGCAAGGCCCTGTCTTTGATCCCCAACATCACCAAAAGGAAAGAAGAATAGAAAGGAAGGAAGGAAGGAAGGAAGGAAAGAAGAAAGAAAGAAAGAAAGAAAGAAAGAAAGAAAGAAAGAAAGAAAGAAGACAAAAAATATGTGTCATGTTTTGTGGCAGTTCTGACCTGAGGTCCTTGGGCCTGGGCAAGAGTCATGAAATTTTTCAACTTTATATTTTGTCTTTTAAATTTCTTTTGAAGCTATTATAGATTATACAATGTATTTTAAAATATACCCATGTCTCTTTTAAAAACAAAACGGCATGTTGTTTACCATTAAGAAACCAAAATATCAAAATTGGGCCTCATGTCTTATAGATTCTCATATCCCAAGGCATGCTGGGTGAACCTCAGCAGGTTGCGAACCTCCTCCTGAGAAATGGGACCAACAGAAGGAACCTTGAATTTTCATTGCTTCTGTTGCTATGAAAAAAGTCAGTGGTCAAACACAATTTATAGAAGAAAGAGTTTACTTTGGCTTACAGTTTCAGAGAGTAGGTGTCCATTGTGGCAGGGAGGCATGGTAGCAAGTATCAGGAAGCTCAGGCATCACATCTCAGCCACACACAGGAAGCAGAGAGGAAGAACTGGAAGGGCAAGGCTATAAACTCTTATCGCCCACCCCCAGTGACGACTTCTTCCAGCAAGGCTCCTCAAAGTTCCACAACCCCCTAAACAGCCGCCAACTGGGGGGAGTTTTAAATCCATAAGCCTATGGGGGATGATTCTCATTTAAACCACCCAAACCCCAGACTTTGGACTCTGAGATGAGTTTGAATTCTAGCATTGATTTGGCTTTCTAGCTCTGTGAATATGAGGAATTTAATTTACTTCTCTGGATTTTGGAGCCCCTGTCTGTCTGGTGGGGTGAGAACAGCCTTGCAGGGAGGATCCTTCTGAAGATTAGCAGTATAGTGAAAGCAACCAGCACATTGTGTGCCCCAGAGCAACATTCAATAGTGTGGTCGTTGTTAAATAAAGCTGTTTGTTTAGGAAGATGTGCTGAACAATTGATAGCACAGGAACCAGGGGCCAGTACTGAGCAAACCAGCTTTACATTTGATTTTAGCCAAAGGCTTACAAACCATCTTTAGCAGATTCTAAAGAAAAGCAGCTCATCATTTATCATCATCAAGTACAAACCATCTTTAGCAGATTCTAAAGAAAAGCAGCTCATCATTTATCATCCTCTCCTCCCTACTGTATATATACCAAGCCACTAGTGAGCTAGTGTAACACTAAGATGGTTCCTGGCACATGGGAAAAGGATGCCGTTTGCACTTTAAAGGGGAGGTGTTAACCAAGTGTGTGTAAATTTAGGCTTCAATCCCAGCACGTAGGAGGCAGAAGCAGTGAGTTCAAGGCCAACCTGGTCTCTAGAGCAAGTTCTAGGACAACCAGGGCTGAGAAACAAACCCTGTCTTGAAACAAGAACAAAACAAAACAAAAACAACAAAACCCATATACTCTTCATAAATCCTATAAAGTAGCATAACAATATAAGGGATAGTTAAACAAAGGATGGACTTCTGAAGAAATACACTGGTAGTGAGGTCGAGAGTACAGGAGTGAACTGGACAAGGAAGAAGGAAAGAATTTGTGATCAGGTGGGAACAGCACTGGTGAAGGCCTTGTAGAAGGGGGACTTGTGCCCTGCGGGTGGTGCTGAGGCTCAGGGGCTGTCTTTGCACGTGCTGAGCAAGCACTCTTCCACTGAGCTGCTACCTCCAACCCCCCTGCAGTCCCATATTCTCCCCGGAGGGAAGTAGCAGAACTTCTACAGAAAGGTTATGTAGCGTAGAACTCTCAAAATACCAACAAGAAATTTCACACATGAACTGGAGAGATGACTTAGCAATTGAGGTCAAACACTGTTGCTCTTCCAGAGGACCTGGGTTTGATTCCCACCCTTTAAATGGTGGCTCAGAACTATAACTCTGGTTTTGGGGGATCCAATGCCCTCTTTCGGCCTCCACAGGCACTAGGCACAAATATACACGCAGGCAAAATGCCCATTAACACAAAATGCGTAAAAAATTCACACAGCACTAAGATAACAACTTGTGTGACTTAGGCAAAGTTTGTTTCTCTTCATAAAATATACTCAAACTATGTGTACTATGCTTTTACTTTCCAACCCATTCCATAAAGGAAACCCAAAGCCTGCCTTGACTTAGTAAGTACTAGTGGAAAATAGTCAGAATCCATTAAGTAGAAACCAAGTACTTGAACGGCGACCTGAATTGTGTGTTCTTAAAGCATATTAGAACTCTGAATTGGGTCAGGGACTATTTCAATGAAGATAAACCCAGGACAGGGTATCCAAGTGACTTGGATATCCCTGCCAATTTAGTTGTATTTTCATCTTAGACATTACTTTTTTGGTTTTGTTTTGTTTTGTTTTGTTTTTCCGAGACATGGTTTCTCTGTGGCTTTGGAGGCTGTCCTGGAACTAGCACTTGTAGACCAGGCTGGTCTCAAACTCACAGAGATCCTCCTGCCTCTGCCTCCCGAGTGCTAGGATTAAAGGCGTGCACCACCACCCAGTTAGACATTACTTTTAAAGAAATTATTTGAGAACCTACTGAATCTTGGAGACTGCTTTGAATTTCACACCGATCGTGTAATCTTGGGGCCTCTGGTTTTGACAGGCCCTCTTAGACTAGAGTTGAGTTGCCATCGGATTGAAGTTTACTCTTGAGAATTTGGTATCCACACACTATGTGGTGGTCACATCTGCCAATGGAGTTGTTAGTGACATTTGTCAAGGATGTAACTGTAGCTCTTGCAGCTGCTGTCATTGCAGCCCTTGTTTTTTATCACTGGGTTTGTGGTTAACCAGTCACCGGTTGCTTCAGTTAGGCAAGCCAACTGGGGCCTTGCTGGCAGGGTAGGTGTGTGCAGAGGCAGAGGTCTCTTGCTGCAGCTCTGAGGACCATGCAGCTCATTGGTAGCTGGTGTATACACACTCTATGTTAGGGTCTTGTTGCCCAGGACACAGGGAGAGCAAGTAAGATGTATTGTGACCCTTCTGAGCAGGTGGGGGTATGATTTTGAGGTTCTGGTACATTTGAGCACTGCTCCTTGCTTCACACTGCCTTCCCAGACCTTTGAGGCTAGGCTGTACAGCCTTCATTTGGCTCTCTTCTTGCTGGCAGATTCATACATGTACTCTGCCTAAAAGCATTCTTTCTACTCTACATGGATAATCCCTACTCATCTCTTGGTTACCAGGGTGGGTTTTTTCCCCACCTAGGGGGAATGGGTGTTCTGTTTTTTTGAATGTCCATATGTAGCCCAGGCTGGCCTTAACTTGAAATCCTCTTGCCTTGGCCTCTGGGATTATGGCATGTGCAACCATGCCTGGCTCTCAGGAACCATCTTAAGTCATCGCCATAGTCATCTTGGTTTCTTCCTGTCTCTGCCTGGCTGGAGGGTCTCTTGTACCTTGTTCCCTTCTTAGCCCTTTTTTAACTTTGCATTTGTGTGTGTTTTGGCCAAATTCCCTGAAGGGATGACTTGATGACCTTCTCTGGGTCTGGCATTTAGATGGCTTGGTAGGTACTGACACCTGCAGCCAAGTAGTCATATGTCAGAGGAAGAGTGATGTGCTCCAGGAGTGGACAAAAGCTTTGTGGAGGAGGTGACAAGTACTGAGTAGGTGTTGTCCACTTGGCAAAAAGAGAAGAGCAAGCCAGACAAAGAGAACATGAGCAGGTGCCTGGAGCATTCCTAGTGACTGGGGAATCTGTATGGCTTCGAGTGATGGAGGACCAGGGGGAGAACTGCTCAGAATTGCAACTCCACAGCATGTTCTGTAGCTACTGTGTCAATGTGTATCCCTCACATGGGGAAAGCACAGCCCTGTTCATACCCTAGCATGCTCTAATTAAACCTTGAACGCTATTATTTCCCTTTGAGATAATAGAAAGTAATTTTGTTAAGCTCTTAGAGTGAGCCTGTTTGCCATTCACATGGGTTTTCTGGGTGTGGGTGGCAAAATGGCCACCAGGAGTTTTCTCTGGCACAGCTCACCATGCAAGGCAATATTCCAAGCACTGTTTCAGCTTGACACCATAGTTTTGAGCCCGTAGGAATGGGGCCAGGCCTCTTTTCAGAGCAGGACCTGGGAGGCAGCTCCCTTGCTAGGATTTGAGAGTGGGTCATTTAAACTTCGGCCATTGGCTTTGAAATATACCTTGTACCGAACAAGATTCCATCTGCCATTCATAACTCTCATGGGCTACAGCCATGGATCATACCCTTCCCCAAACTGATAGGTGAGTAGTGACACAGATATGATTTCAGATTTTCATAAAGGACATCCTTTTTGCTTCTTTAGGTTTTCTGACACAAGGTATTGTTATGTAGTCCTGCCTGGCCCAGAACTCACTCTGTGGATCAATCTGGTCTTGAACTTACTATGTATCTCATGCCAGTTCTGAATGTGACCTGTTTGCCTCAGCCTCCAAATTCTGGGATTATAGGCACACACCACCACCACGCTTGGCTCAAAAGGGATCACACAGTGATTGCTACCTTTGCAAGTTTACCCCAGTAGTAATGAGAGCAGCCAGGGCTTGGTGGCAGGTGAGTAGTGTTCTATGCTCTAGGCATACAGGATGAAGCTTCAGCACAGAGGGATGTCACATCTATTGGTGAAGCCTAATGGCTAGCAAAGTCAGTTGTAGAACTGTGCCAGGTGGTCAGGAGGTGGATGGAGGTCCCCAGGGCACCTCACAG